AGCAGCATGGTACTGGCATAAAGAGAGACAAACAGAACAATGTAACAGAACAGAGAGTCCAGAAATAAACCCACACACTTATAACCAACTGATTTTCAACAAAGGTGCCAAGAATATACAGTGGGGTAAGCACAGCCTCTTCAATAAACGATGCTGGGAAAAACAGATATCCACATGCAGAAAATTGAAACTAGACCCGTATCTTTCACCATAAACAAAAATCAAGTCAAAATGGATTAAAGACCTAAGTTTAAGACCCAAAACTATGAAACTACCAGAAGAAAATAAAGGGAAAAGCTACAAGAAATGGGAATGGGCAGTGCTTTTTGAGTGAGACTACAAAGGCACAGGCAACTAAAGCAAAAATACACAAATGGGACTACATCAAACTGAAAAGCTTCTGCACAGCAAGGCACACTATCAACAAAGTGGAGAGACAACCTACAGAACTGCAGAAAGTGTTTGCAACCTACACATCAGACAAGGGACTAACCACCATGATATATAAGGAACCCAAATGACTCAACAGCAAAAATACAAATAACCCAATTAATAAATGAACAAAGGACCTGAACAGTCATTTCTCAAAAGAAGACATACAAATGGCAACAAGCACATGAAAAAAAAATGCTCAAAATCACTAGTCATCAGGGAAATGCAAATTAAAACCACAATGAGGTAGCATCTCACCCCAATTAGAATGGCTATCATAACAAGACAGAAAATAATAAATGCTGGGAAGGATGCAGAGAAAAGGGAACCCTCCTACCCTGTTGGTAAGAAAGTACATTGGTACAGCATTGTGGAATACAGTACGGAGGTTCCTCAGAGAACTGAAATAGATCTACCTTAGGACCCAGCTATCTCCCACTACTAGGTATATTCCCAAAGGAAATGAAATCATTATTATTTAAACATCTGCACGCACATGTTCATGGAAATGCTATTCACAATAGCCATGAGATGGAATCAACCTAAATGCCCATCAATGGATGAATAGATAAAATATACATATATATAAAAAAAATATATATATATACACACCATGGAAAACTATTCAGTTATAAAATGAAACGACATCTTATCATTTGCTGCAACATTGACGGAACTGGAAACAATCATGTAGTGAAAGTCAGGCACAGAAAAGCAAATACCTCATGACTCCACTCATACGTGGAATCTAAAAAAAGTGGTTCTCATGGAAGCAGAGAGTAGAATAATGGTTACTAGAGGCCAGGAGGGGTGGAGGTGGGGGAAAGGAGAAGTGGTAGACTAACAGGTACAAAACTATGCTATCTACCCTAAATGAATCACTGTGCAATATATGCATGTATTAAAACAACACACTGTATCCTGCAAATATGTACAAGTAAATGTTGAAATTTAAAAAAAGTTTAGATAAGCTATTTTTAATCAACAGCAGCCAATATTTATTTATTTAATTCTAGGAAAACCAGAAAATGTTCTATTAGGATCATACACACGACACTATCTGTGGCTTCAATCTAGTTTAAAACCTTGATTATCAACCTAAATTTTTACAAACAAGCCCTTCATAACCAACTTGCCAAAACTCATGTTACCCATCCCTGAATAAAACATAATCACTAATGCAGAAGGATACACTGAAGGCTCCCAGCTAGTATACCTGAACTCTTCTGTTCCCATGAGTTGTATGCTTGCATTAGTTGTCTTCATTCTCAAACCTACTGAAACCAGTTGTTCTTATTACTGTAATTGGTTGACCGAAACACTTATTAAACAGATATAATAAACACAAAGAGTTGCTTCTAAAACTTAAATTTATATTTTCTATTTCCTTAGTCTCTTTCAAAGGAAATACACACAAAGTGCACTAACTTCATTCCCATCTCTACTCAAAAGATGCTTCTTTCCAAAGAAAGGAGGAGATTCCATCTGAAGAAACCATCATGAGATGGCAGCAATTCAGTCACATCTTCAGGCTCCACTTCTAATTTTAGTTCTCTTGCTCTTTCTACCACATCTGCAGTTACTTCTTCCACTTAAGTATTCAACTCCTCCAAGTCATCCTTGAGAGCTGAAATCAACTTCTTCCAAACTCCTGTTAATGTTGATATTTTGACCTCCTCCCACGAATCATAAATGTTCTTAGTGGCATCTAGAATGGTGAATCCTTTCCAGAAGGTTTTCAATTTTCTCTGCCCAGATCCATCAGAGGAATCACTATCTATAGCAGCTACAGCCTTATAAAATATATTTCATAAATAATGAGACTTGAAAGTCAAAATTACTCCTTGATTCATGGGTTGCAGAATAGATGTGGTGTTAGCAGGCATGAAAACATTAATCTCCTTATCCATCTCCATCAGAGCTCTTCGGTGACTAGATGCACTGTAAATGAACAGACATATTTTGAAAGCAAACCCTTTTTTTCTGAGTAGGTCTCAACGGTGGGCTTAAAATATTCAGTAAGCCATGCTGTAAACAGACATGCTGTCAATCCAGGCTTTGTTACTTCATTTATACAGCACAGGCAGAGTAGATTCAGCATAATTGAGCATAAGGGCCTTAGGATTTTCAAAATGGAAAATGAGTACTGGCTTCAATTTAAAGTCACCAGCTGCATTAGCCCTTAACCTAACAAGACAGTCAGCCTGTCCTCTGAAGCCAGGCATTGACTTTTCCTTTCTAGCTATGAAAGTCCTAGAAAGCATCTTCTTCCAATATAAAGCTGTTTCATCTACACGGGAAATCTGTTGTTTTGTGTAGCCACCTTCATAATTATCTTAGATAATTTTCTAGATTTTCTGTATAACTTGCTGCAGCCTCTACATCAGTACCTGCTGCTTCATCTTGTACTTTTATGTTATCAAGATGGCTTCTTTCCTTAAACCTCCAAAACCAACCTCTGCAAGCTTCTGACTTTTCTTCTGCAGCTTCCTCACCTCTCTCAGCCTTCACAGAATTGAAGAGAATTAGGGCCCTGCTCTGGATTAGGCTTTGGCTTGTGGCTGGTGTGATCTTCAATCCACATCACTGAAACTTTCTCCATATCAGCAATAAGGTTGTTTCGCTCTTCTCATTCATGTGTTCACTGGAGTAGCATTTTTAATTTCCTTCAAGAACTTTTGCTTTGCATTCACAACATGGCTGTTTGGCACAAGAGGCCGAGCTTTTGGCCCTTCTCAGTTTTTAACATGCTTTCCTAACTAAGCTTCATCATTTCTAGTTTTTGATTTTAAAATGAGAGATGTGTGACTCTCTCTTTCACTTGAATACTCTTTCCTAACTAAGCTTCATCATTTCTTGTTTTTGATTTAAAATGAGAGATGTGTGACTCTCTCTTTCACTTGAATACTTAAGAGGCCATTGTGGGTTATTAATTGGCCTAATTTCAATATTGTTGTGTCTCAGGGAATTGGGAGGCCTAAGGAGACGGAGAGAGACAGGAGAATTGCCAGACAGTCAGAACGCACACAACATTTATTAATTAAATTTGTCATCTTATATGGGGATAGTCTGCGGCACCCTAAAACAATTACAATAGTAACATCAAAAATCAATGATCAGGGCCGGCCCAGTGGCGCACTGCGCTAGTGTGCCGCTTGGGAAGCGTGGCGGCGCTCCCGCCGAGGGTTCAGATCCCACATGCAGACCGGTTCCCGCTCACTGGCTGAGCGAGGCGCGGGGGCAACACCGAGGGTTGCGATCCCGTTGCCGGTCCCGGTCCGGTACGGGGGCGACACTGAGGGTTGCGATCCGTTGCCGGACACAGAAAAAGACAAAAAAAAAAAATCAATGATCATCTCAACAAACATAACAATAAATGAAAAAGTTTGAAATATTGTGAGAATTACCAAAATGTGACAGACATGAAATGAGCACATGCTGCTGGAAAATGGTACCAACAGACTTGGGAGATGCAAGGTTGCCACAAACCTTCAATTTGTAAAAAATGCAATAGCTGCAAAATTCAATGAAGCAAAGTGCAATAAAATAAGTTATGCCTGTAATCAATTTCCAAAAGCTCATATCAAAGATAAGCAAACAATTGCACAGCAGCTACCACTTACTGAAAAACTATTCTGTATCACTGTTAGATACTTTACAAGTATTCGTCTTAAATAAGTCTCCCGATTATGAAGTTAACTATTTTTGCATAAAGCCACTTATACAGAAAAATACAGTATCAATCTACAACAAGCTTTCCTGGCCTCAAGTCACTGAACCATGGTATTCTCTCCAACATTATGCATAAGAGTACTCACAACCTAACAGAGCTCCAAGTGGGTCCTAAAAACATATAGTAGAACCTAGCTGTTAAGAAGAGCCAACTTTCTATGCTAATGAATGTTTCACCTTCACCTCTCCTTTTCTCTAAGAAAAAAAAAGTTCAATCTGCTGAAGATCATGCTTACAAAAGAAAATAAAATGTAGAACTTCTCCCACATGTTCTCTTTATGACCTAAGAAAGCAACAGAAGATCACAATCAAAGACCAAGAATTCTAAACTCTAGCTAAACAATTAATGTAAACTCTAGCTCATCAGTGCTTTGGTTTCTGTAAACACTTAATGGCTGCATAACTGCACTAAATTACTTCTGTGGACATTCTGTGTTTTCCAGAATCCTCAACATAAAACCACAACATACACAAAGAATACACAGCAACAGAATATGGTATACATATTTTCTCTGTTACATGTCCTTGAGGGTAAAAATTGTATTTTGTTCATCCACTAAAGTACCTTGAAAAATGTGATGTAGCCATTTACTAAACATGTATTATACTTTCAAATTCATGTTCTTCCACATATCAATGGATTTGAACTGACTGAAGTGAAACTTCAGCTGATATCAGATGTAATATTGTTCTAACACTACGAAGTAGGACAGATCTTGCTTAACCATTTTGCTTAAATAAATCAACTAAAAGGCGTGACTTAAATCAAAATTTTTATATTTCATCTGAGAATGAGAACACATCCATTTCCTAACACCCTGGAACTTATTACTCACCTGAGGCCATGGTCTGTAATCTGATAACATCCAGACAGACTGAGAAACAGAAGTACACGTCCAGTCTCTTGATCACATTTTTCACTCCCAAAGTAAATTAAGTCTTTTCCCCCAGGCAATCTAGTCCTTGATGCTTTTCTACACACCGTAGAGGACTCCGGGAGTGTTGACATAGTTCTTAGAGCTGTTCCTGTACAACAAAATGAATGACCACAATACGCAAAGGCTGGAGAAGCACAATGCTGCTGCCAACAAACGCTAGTCCTTAGTCCAACAATATCCTTACTGTAACAACCAGAAGTGGAACAACTAAAGTTGGATGCTGTTTCCATTACACAAAGACTTTCAACATTTCTATGTCTCCATTCTACAGCATCTTCAATATCTGCCAAATCTTCAGCATCTAACATCCACACATAAGGAGAAGTGAAATTTTCAGAAGAAACAGGCTTAGTCCATGGGTGTTCATTATCTATTTCTTCTTCAATGCCCTTGTTAGTCAAATTGTGCAAACAGGCATATTGCTTGGCAGACTGCATGGGAATGTCCTTATTTTTCCATGTAGTAGAAGTAATTTTGCTCGCAGAAGTTTTCAAAAAGCCACTCTGATGAGATGTCAGAATTCCAAGAGCTCTGGAAATCTTCTCTAGAGCCACATCTGTGATTTTCTCACATCCAGACAGATCAAGATGCCGAAGATTCTGGCAGCAACCAAGCCAAGACCAACTATAATTAAGAGGTAACAAAACTATTAATGGATATTGTTAAATTCTTCAAAAGCACTTGACTATATGTATGTAGATGGAAACTAGAAGAAAGATTTTAAATATAATCACTCAAACATTTAGTGAATATCTATCGTCAGGCACTATTTTTGGTGTTAGGGATACGAAAATATAATGAGAGTAATTAGAAACTAAGAGTATTGCTAATCTAATAGAAGGGTAGGATGAGAGATGGGTAAGGACAGGAGAGACTAAGTTTATTATCCTAAAAGTTACCAATAGAGGACAGATTGTATATACATGAAAGAAAGAGAATAACTAATAATTACTGGAGGAAGATCCAGAAGAAATTAGGAATTGGAAGTGCAATTAGCCTTAGCCAGAAAAGAGTATATCTTTCCCTCCGAAACAGGAAAAAAAGGTGCTGATAGAAATGCTACTAGGGTAAGAAAGAGGGGGTACGCTAGTATAAGGTGAAAATTGATGGTGTCCAAAGAAATATATGAAGAGTGTAGCTTGAAGAAGATGGTACTGTTTCAGAATAACTATAAAAAATGTAAGAGGTAAAATACAGGGGAAACACTTCAGGAAGTAGGACTGGGCAAAGACTTTATGAACAAGAGTCCAAAAGCACAAGCAACAAAAGAAAAAATAGATAAATGGGACTATATCAAACTAAAAAGCTTTCACACAGCAAAGGAAACAATCAACAGAGTGAAATGACAACCTATAGAACTGGAGAAAATATCTGCTAACTGTACATCCAAAAGAGGATTAATATCCAGAATATACAAGGAATTCAAGCAACTACACATTACAAAAACAACAACAACAACAACAACAACAACAACAAAAAAACCCCAAATAACTCAATTAAAAAATGAGCAGAGGAGCAAAATAGATATTTTTCAACGGAAGACATACAGATGGCCAACAGGCACTTAAAAAAATGCTCAACAACACTAGTCACCAGGGAAATGCAAATTAAAACCACACTGAGATATCGCCTCGCCCCAGTTAGTCTGACAATCAAAAAGACAGAGAATAACAAATGCTGGAGAGGATGTGGAGAGAAGGGAACACTCCTACAATGTTGGTGGGATTGTAAATTAGTATAACCACTATGGAAAACAGTATGGAGGTTTCTCAAACAACTACAGATAGAGCTATCATATGATCCAGTAATCCCACTTCTGGGTATATACCCAAAGGAATGGAAATCATCATGTCGAAGGGCTACCTGCACTCTCATGATCATCACAGCTCTATTTACAATAGCCAAGATATGGAACCAACATAATGTCCATCAATGGACGACTGGATAAGGAAAATGTGGTAATATATACACCATGGAATACTATTCTGCTTTAAAAAACAATGAAATTCTGCTATTCACAGCAACATGTATAAGCTTATTTCACTTATTATGTTAAGTGAAATAAGCCAGGCACAGAAAGAAAAATACTGCATATCCTCACTCATAAGGGCAACCTAAGAAAGAAAGAAGGAAGGAAAGAAAGACCAGAGTGGAGTGTTGGACTTGCAGAGGGAGAGAGCATACCTAAAATTGCTGGAAGGGGGGGATGCACTGACATGGGGAATAATCACAATTTGTGGTAACGACAAACTAATAGTATTGATCTGACCACCACATATTGAGCACAGGTGGTGACAATAAGCTATGTATGCCATCAATATGCATATTCAATTAAAAAAAAATGCAAGCAGGAGATTTGCCAAATGGCACTTAAAGCCCAAGTGAAACTGAAAACTTTTAAAAAATATGTAATACCAATCTATATGGTTGCACAGCAAGGCTCAAAGGCCTAGACACAGTACGAGATTACAGAGACGGCAAGATGATACAGACTGGAGTTTGTATCATCAACTGGGACCTATGGACAAGAGGGCAAGAACTGGATGGAGGGTGATATTAAGTTACAGCCATATGTGACTGAGATCTGGTAGTAAAAAAATAATAGTATGATTAAACTGATTTTGCAAATGAGAAATTACAGAACAATTCTGATTAAGTTATAAAGCATTATATTTAGATATAAACTAACCTGTCAAATGCAGAATCTGAAATATCAGTTTGGGTAAGATCCAGATGCTCCAGGTTAGGACAAAGCTCTAAAATCTGCCTAACCTAAGGGGGAAAAAAGTCACTGTGAAGATCTGTAGAACTTTGGTTACACATGCAACAAACAACTATTAGTAAATATAATCCAGTGGTTCTCAAACTTTTGTGCATGAAAAAAAAAATCACTTGAATAAGTGCACTAAAATTATATATTCTGGGCTCAGATCCCTAACTGTTTTAGTAGTTCTGAGATTGGACCCAGGAAACTTACATTTTTAAGGAATACCCAAGGAAATTCTCATGTAGGAAATCACAAGGTTCACTTTTATAAAAGAGTGATTTCCTCTCACTTGCCCATCTTACCATGCCTTACATATTATAAAGAATCATATAAAATTGGGCTTCATCATTTAATACCTGTGAAACTGAATAAAATGTTTTTACCTCTCCTAGTCTCAGTTTCCTTATCTTAATGTGTAGGCAATGATATCTATGCTACAAAAACTGTTGTGAGAACCAAAATAAAATGACGTGAAAGCTAGCAATGTATGCCTACCCATAAGAAGGTACTCAATAATTGTTTTTTGCCTTAAATAATCTCAAGAATAAGCAAACCAATGTTATATCACTACTGTTTTTCTTAATACCCAAACCAGTGCTAATTTATACATACCATTTTGCTGGAAACTGCGGAGCTGTATGCTAATACTAAAGTTTTTACAGAAGTACCAACATATGGTAGAACGTTATGAATTAAGCCATGCAGTAAACGTTTTTCCATTTGTGCAATGCTGATAGCAATCGATTCTTCTGCACACTCCTCTGTAAAATGAATTCGAAAGTCTAAGAACTTTATACACTAACTTTAGTTAGGCTACTCACCAAATCACTAAATATGAAATACTTATCCTTAAACTCATTTATATAAACAATTCCATTTTCAGGCAATGAAAAAAAATCTTGAAAAAAAAATGAATACTGAGAGAATTGTAAAAATTTTTCAAGAGAACAGAATATATATCAAAAGAAAAATGACCCATAATAAGAAGTGTCATCAGTTATTCTATATAAATAAAAATGACACAGAACTAGAAGAGATTTGAAACTGAACCAAATTAGCCTGATCATAATGAAACAAGCAAGGCAAGGAGCCTTTGAATTTTTAAGAAGTTAAAAATGAGAATGGCTTTGAGTTTTACTTAATAACTTCTATAAAGCTTGGATGTTTACAACAGTATGCACTACTGTAACAACCACCACAAAAGAAAAACTACAAACTCCAATTTGATATAAGGAAAAAAACACATTAACTACACTAAAAAGAATGAATTAATCATTTTATCATCTTTCTCAGGATTGTATTATTATGCTTACCTAAAGACCTAACCTAAATGTCTCTAAACGTGAAACAGTTTAACAGGACAAGTTAAGGAAGTCTCATTTAAAACATAACTGGGTGCAGCAGACAAAAGGAATATGTCGAAAGAATAATTACTGAATTTGTTACTAATGGTTCTATATTTATAGATATTGTCTGAAATTCCTCCTTTAGCAAGACATATAAGTAAGACATAAAGGATAAGAACTACTTTAGTGAACCCTATTTATTCTACTATAATTTTATTCTCAAGCCATTCCTTTGTTTCTGTGGCCCTCCCTATCTAAATGTGTACTGTTTACTGTGAAATCTTTAAAAAAAAAGTTAAACATCATATGAAGAATAATAAGTTCTCTACCAGACTAGTAAAGATAGCTAAACTGAAAAAGCACTGAAGTAGATAACAGATCCAAAGTTTAGTTGAAATAAATACACTAAGTTTGGTAAAGCCTTCAAAATTCTTATCATGGTTATTACGAATTAATTTTCTAGAAAGGATAAATTAACTCTTCCCTAAGGTGACATCTGAACCAAAACCTCACCTCCTTCAAAGCTTTCCTCAAATTTGTCAGGGGACCTTAATCATCCTATTTTAAATTGTAACTTCTTTCCTATCTTCCTGGCATGCTTTCCTTTCTTTATTTTTCTCCACATTTATCACTATTATACATAATATAGTATATACTCTACCTGTGTTTATTGTCTGCTTCCCCTCTCCAAACTTTAAGCTCAACAAGGCCAGATTTTTCCCATTTTGTTCACTATTATATCCCTCATACCTTGAACAGTGCCTGCCATAGGTTAGCATATCACCAAATCTAACTGGAGAAGACCGCTTCCTTACATAGCTACATTCTAAACTTTCAAAACTATACCAAAATGTGGCATCTATGTTTCATAAAAATAAACTACTTTAGCTCCTGAAATAATAATCTTTATACTTATAGTTCTTACTTTCCACGTATTTAGTTCTTTCGCCAGGCCAGCTTACTTTCTTAAAGTGGGTAGCTTTACAAATAAAAATTTCCTACAGTTTCAGTTTTTACCAAGCAGAAAAATGTCTCATCTACTGATTTTTCATTATTTTCACCTTCTTTTAGTAATTATTATCTAGAATACTATCTAAGACAGAATTTATGTCTTCCTCCTCCATACTCCCACATAGCAACTCTTTGCACCTATATTACAGCATTTTTTAATATGTACCTTAAATTAAGAATTAAGTAGTCTAAATTCTCCCCCACTTGTGAATTCTTTAAGGGTGGGAATAAAGTATTATTCATTCTTGAACTCTCCCACAGTACTTAATAAATGGCTACACTAGTTTTTATAATCCCTTACCATTTATAAAGAATTTTCATTCATAATCCCTTACCATTTACAAAGAATTTTCATGTATAAGTCATGTGTCATTTAACAACAGGGATACATTCTAAGAAATGAGTCTTTAGATTTTGTTGTACATACATACAAAATAGGTCTAGCCTATTGCTTCTAGGCTACAAACCTGTATAGCATGTTACTACACTAAATACTGTAGGCAATTGTAACAAAATGATAAGTATTTGTGTACCTAAACATATCTAAATATAGAAAAGGTACAGTAAAAATACAGCAGTGCAGTAGGTTTGTTCATACCAGTATTACCAAAAATACATGAATAATGCATTGCGCTATGACCTTATTATGGCTGCAAATTCACTAGGCGATAGGAATTTTTCAGCTCTATTATAATCTTATATGCAGTCCGTTGTTGACTTAACCATCATTATGAACATGTGACTATATTACTTCTAAACTCTACAACAACCTTATGAAGCAAGTATTGTGACTATTTACAAATGAATACATAGACAGCCATGCTCCTTCCTCTGGGCCACAGATAACTCAATAAATGCTATTGAACTGATCAACTGAAATGGCCCTAAAAAACCTATCGCAAACTATAAAGCACTATAATGAACATACATTATTTCCATGATGAAAACAGGTATCGTTTTCTGATTTTTTATTTTAATATAAAAACAAATAGGAAACAGCTCTATACATGCTTAAACAAACAATTTAAACAATAAATTTTAAATCTGCTTATCATTCTTTTAAATTTTAAGTAGTAGGCTTAAAAGCACACATCTTTAGAAAATACACAAAATACATAAATCTTAACACCTAATAATTATAATTACTTAATTATCAAATATAATGTCAATTATTTAAAAACCCTGTAATAATTTTAATTCCAAATATGGCTTACCAGATTCGTCTATGTCCGCATCTTCATCCCACTCCTGAAAAGCACGACTTTCATCTTTCCTATTTTTCACCCATTCTTCATCAGGTTCAGTATCAAGTTCAGTTGCAGGACCACTATACCAGTCACCTACTCAATGAATAAACAAATGATAAGAGGAACAAAATAAGATTAGATTGCCTGTTACAAAAAAAAAAAAAAACCATCTAATTTATAATAAAAATCTCTACACCAAGAAAATATTTAAGCTCTAGAGGGCTTGGATCCCCACATAGCCAGCTACCAAAAAAAAAAAGAAAATATTTAAGCTGTAGGCAATAGGCCAGGTATTTTTAGAAATATCTAACTGTAGTTTTAAAAATTACTCTTAAACAAACAATTCAATTACAGACATAATGAAAAAAACTATGACTATGTGGGTTCAATTAATACTAATTTATTAACCAACAGTTCACATTTTCCCAAAGTAAATCCTTTTCTCTAAAACTATAAAAACAGAACAATTAACTACAAGAATTTACATAGCCTGCTATGTACGTACTCTCTCTATAAAAAGTATTTAAATTTCATCTTTTACAGAAATGAGCTTAATGATTATGATCTTATTTCTAAGAAAAATAATTACCAATAGTCTTACATGCAATTTTAGAAATCATTGAAAACAACCTAACCTTTTTCCCCTAATGTGGCTTCACACTGGCTCCAACAATAGCCCCATTATGATGATAGCTAATAAACAAAAGGAAGCAGGATTTTCTACTCTGTAATGAATCAGTCAGCAATTCAGATGTAGGTTGGAACAGAAGTCAAAGGGAAAAATTAAGATAAAGCTAAATCATAAGTTTACCGGTCTTGGAAAATATACTGAAACCAAATCATATGGTTGTGAAGTGAGAGATGCAGAACTAATTTGCTTGAACGCTTAACATTACATCTAATGTTTCTCAACCTTTACACTACTGACATTCTGGGCCAGATAATTCTTTGTTGTGGGGGGCTGTCTCGTGGATTATAGGATGTTTAGCAGCAACCCTGGCCTCTACCCACTAGATGCCAGTACAATAACCAAACATGGGAAAAACAAAAATGTCTCCAGACATTTCAAATGAGTTCTTATCACTGACAAAAAATACCATAAATAAATAAACATTTTTTACTGGAACTTTTTATTCAAACATATTAAAAACAGAAAAAAGAAACACATTTAAGATTTGGGTGACTTCACAGAAGTCAGCAGAGCACTATCACATCTGATATTCACATTCAATGATATCTAATTGCGGCATTAATTCTCAATAGTTAAAAACATCTGAATGAGAAAGTATTTGATACATTGTATTTGCCTTATTTGACTTTTCACTCAATATTTCATTATCCTACAAATAGGAAAAATTATTTAACATAAAAATAACAATTCTAATCATTTGGATCATATAAATCTACCAATGCTCCAATAGCTTCACTCAAAAATATTAAATATCTAACAACAGCTCATTTTAAAAGTGCTATATATTATTGTAACATATAAAACTGCTCTTAAATCACACTTGCAATATAAATCAATCAGACATAAAATTATGTTAGGAATACATACCTCCATGTTAAAGTCACACAAAATAGAAAACTATTTTTAAAAATTGTGAATTTTAAAGTTCATACTCACCTAGAAAAAATCTTTTAATTCAGTGACAGAAAAACATATGCCGTTATCAGTTCCATTTATCTCATGACTACATTATGGGCTCATGAAAAGAAAATTTTCTTTAACCGTTCACATGTGAAAGTAACTTAACACAATGAAATTGTGATTTAGAGTTTGAAGCATTACCAATCACCAAAAAAGATATGTTAAAGACAAAAATAGATTCAGTTATTATCAGCCACTACCAAAAGGGAGGCATAATGGTGCCTCATATCTTTAAATTTTACAGAATTAATTTATTGTTATTTTTAAAATAATCTAAATATTTAGTACCATTCTGAAAACCTAGTATTTAATTTAATTTTTAACTTTTTAATCTTGAGGGAAATTGCAGATACCATTAATTTACTCATGAAAACTTCAGTATTGCTAACTTTTCAAAAATGTATACTAAGAACACCATCATCTAAATATAAAATCTACTTTTTGGTCAACCTTTTGGTTTCCTTCCCCGGTCTTACTGATTAATGTCTATGAGTAAAAAATCATCCAGTAAAATAGATTGAAATACTTTTATAACAAAAGTCCCATTTACCTACCTCTGGCCCAGTGAACAGGGTAAAGATGTTTCCAAAGCAATCCAGTTTTTGCCAGCTGAGACCATTTAGTGCTTACTTGACTGCATCGACATAATTCTTGAGGATTAAGATAACTGAAAATTGACAGCATTACCTCAGGAGGAAGATGGGTTATGCCTGTAGAGTGTTCTGACACTTCTGCTTCTGAAATAAAAAAGAAAAACTTTAGCAGTAAGGCTATAAGAGCAAATACAATAAGAGATTACAATCACATTTCTATAAATAAAGTCCAGTGCCTGAAATCAATTCCTTCCTGCTGGCAAGATGTGAAAAGGAAATAACATGTACTAGAGGTAACATAGGGATGTTAAACTTGTTAAGAACCCGTAGGGTTAAACTATCATGGCCCAAATCATACTTCATCAGTAGGAGCTACAATAATGCACACAGAATTAACTTCCTCTTACAAAGGCGTCACAGCAAAAACAATACTCACTTTGTAGCATAAGTAGCATCATTTGAAAAAGGAACCAAACAGGTTATACAGCTTTAAATCAACAAGTGTAGAGTCTGCCAGATTATGAGAACTTCAAGGCATTTTTAATGACACACACAAATCTTACACCATTCCCCATTCATGCATTGTGACTCCTCTGTCAGTACCTTCCCTTGTGTTCCCCCTTTGATTTTCACATTTCATATGTAAAAGGTCGGTGAAATCTGATTTCTTTAACCTACAGGTGTCTTAAGCTATTTAAATTATTTATGTACCAGTTGAGACAACATAATGCCAATATTTCTGTGCTGATACACACTGGTAAGGAATGTTTTTCAGTAACTATTATAGAAAGTAGTCATTGAACATACAATTTCCTACAATGTATTATTTCAGTAGCAATCTTCCAAAAGAAAAATGAAAATAAGGTGTTATAATAGTGAATATAAAATATAAAAGATTCACGATTAAAGTACTATAAAGAATCTGAGTACCTTTTATATCTGATTTGTAGTCACAAAGCAACTTACGTACAGAAATGCTATGATCAAATTACTTTAAACAACCATTTTTTAAATGCCAAACATTTTAAACATCATACAGCTATAATTTGCTTTGAAGGAATGGGAAAATTAAATGTAATAAGTGTGATGCTTTTAAATCCCATGCTATAATTACAATTAAACCAGACACAACAGGTCTTAGCTTGGTATCTAAAGCACAAGCTGCATTTCAGAGTAAAGCACACAAGCTTTATGGGTTTAATTATGGCTTAACTTGTAAAAATCATTTTGTTTCAACATGCATCTTACTTACTTTGTTAAATAAAAATGTGAGAGAAAAGGAGCAATTTCATAAAACTCAACACTATTTTAGCAGGATTGCCATTGCTATCACCCAACTAGAAGCAGCAAATGAATTTTTACTAGCCAGGGATGCCAACTGTTTCTTTAACAATGTTTTAAAAGACAAAGCTATTGAATATAAATAAGAGTAAAAAATGAGGATGTAGTCTATTAAGAAAAACGGCAAACATTTTATTTGCATTTCTCAATTGTACTCTCAAAGTACAGAAAAACTCTGCCTCTCATACTCACTTCCCTGAGTATTAATGGACCTAAGCTGAGAGAATGACATATGGGAAAGGATGGAAATAAAACTATAAGTATAACTGATTTTGAAAACCAATGAAAAAACACAAGGAAAGATAAAAGCAGCCACCATGGTCAATGAAGCTCAGAAGGTTGGATGATACTTCAAAAATGCTCTGTAAATGGTAGTTTTCAATAATTTTGATTGGCCATGTATAAATATATAAATTTGATTGTGCATATATGAATTCATTCAAGAAACACTATTGCATATGACCCAGGCATATGACATGCTATATTATCACAGACAACACTAAATTCTAAAACAGAAACTAGTTTTAATTAAATTTATACGTGAAATAAATGGCTGCAACTGACCAAACTGCAAGCCTGACAAATTATTATTTCTCAAACAAAATCTACAGTTCATATCAACAAGATGTCAATGGTCTTGGAACTGACCAATAAATCATTCTCTATCTAAATATATGAATCTCACCTTTATCTGACTTTTCATCCACAGAATACTTAAAAAACTTCTGTCGTTCTTCAGCTTGATTCCATAGGCTAAGACCTCTAAGGAGCTCTGCAGTATCCTTCTGAGAGCAGTGTTGCGCAATCACTTTCTTTTTAATATCCTTAAGCTCTTCATAGGTAAAATATTCCATTAACATGGGCTGAAAAACCTAAATTAAACAAAATATTCATAAAAAAGATCCCTATTTTTGTTTTGCTCTATGCCTTTTAAATTATTAATGGCTCAAGTGTCGTTTTATGACCATATATTTCAGAGAGGATAATTTTAGCTGATACCACTGAGTAGCTTATCCAAAAACTGCAGAGAATATCACCAAAAAGATCTTCTATGATTTCTCCTGCTAATAAGTCAATCCCTAAACAATTTTAAAGCATTAAAACCAGAACATTTTCCTGGTTTGAGTTTGTCAAACACTCTTAACCATTCTTTTATTGTTGGACATTTAACTGCTTTCTGTTACTGCAATAACTGAACTCTAACCAAAGAAGTCCTCTACATCAAATGAGAATGGTAACCAGTGTACTGGAACTGCTACTGAAACCTTCAACTAGTCCATGTTGTTTATGGATTTTGGAGATATTTCCTCAAATCATGATTTTAGCACAGAGGTTCCTATGAGAATTACCTATGAGGTTCCTTCTGTGAAAATGATGCTTAGTCCTAACCTCCAGTTTACAGAATTATAAATTTTATAGGTAAAACCAAGGCTTTTTATTGCTGTTGTTCCACAGATAATTTTGATGGACAAAACTCAGTAGTTTCAATGCTGGCTGTTTATTACAATGAGTTGGGGAGCATTTAAAAATCACCATGCATATGCCTCCCACCTGATTTAATAGGTCTGGAAAGGGCTAAAGAAGTTTTTTTTTTATTAATACCAACCCGATTATGAGGTGAAGCCATAACTGACTAACACTACAGTAACTGATTTATGGCTAAGCAAGTATCCAGTTCTTCATAAAATACATCCTTTATTTCTTACCCTGATATTCATCTCCCATTAGAGAGAGAAAATAAAGGGAAAATATTTTTCCCATCCATTCAACAATGCCCTAAAACATGTGTATTAGGCATAAGACTGATAAATTTAAAACCACCATTAAATTACTGAAGTCCAATAATGAAAAAAACATTAAACTTAACATGAAAATACATAAAATATTAAAAAGTTTGAAGAATCCTTGAAAAGTTCTGAAAACACATTAAGGTGACAAAAAAGTTACTAACACTTAAACCAGTGCCAACTACAAATAAGAAAATAAATATTTATTGAGTAAATGAATTAAATCATTCATTCAATGAAAAGCAACGTTTCTGAGGGAACAAAACTAATGCTTGTTTTTCCTTAGATTTTTCTTCAATTCCCCAAAGGAACTGGAGGTTTCTCTCCATCAACCAGACAGACATACCTTCCTATACCTTATTTTGAAGAACCTAAGACAAAATAGTATAAATCTATTTTATAAAATATTTATAAATCTAAATCACAAGAGGGAAAAATTACACTTACCTCCTCCTCTTCTTTCATGTGAGGAAGAAAATCTCTTGTAAAAGCCTCCAATCTCTCTTTCAGCTGTTTTGCATAATTTAACTGCTCATATTCATTCTGGAAAGAAAAAAATTACACTTTATTATAAAGTTCTACTTAAGTATTTACACTGAGCCTGATCCTAGGAAGTCAGTTTAAAATGCAACATAAAAACTCTGAAAAAAATAGATTAACAAATAGCAAAGTGGTCTGTGTACTTTTCTCAGTATAAAAGATGTCCTTAAAAAAGTAAGCTCTGAATTTCTTTAGTGATATGTTCTCATATTTCTTCTATAAAATGTCATAAAATGTCTAAAAATAGCAAGTATTTGTTCAAAACTTCTCCTGATTTTTATTTCTAATTTATATACTTATACAATTTCTACGTGTCAATTTTCAATATATCTCCAAGCAGTCCACAAGAGCCTATTGGACCGTATCATTATAGAACCCCTTTAAGGTCATCTATCCTCCACTAAAAAATTCAGAATACTTGTTACGCTATCCTGACAGAAGGTGATATTCATTAGTATCAATGCTTCCAAAGGCAAGGAGCTCCCTATATCTTGAAATAAATCATTTTAATTCTGGACAACTCGGGCCGAGCCCGTGGCGCGCTCCGGAGAGTGCGGTGCTGGGAGCACAGCAGCGCTCCCGCCGCGGGTTTGGATCCTATATAGGGATGACCGGTGCGCTCACAGCGCTCACTGGCTGAGCGTGGTGCGGCCAGTCTCAAAAAGGACAAAAAAAAAATTCTGGACAACTCTAAACAGCTAAAAAGTTCTTCCTCATATGTGCTAAGATCACATTTCTTGTAACATCATTTCTATATCAGCCCTCTCAAAACATGGAGAAAATTTTTTAAATGATGAAACTTTAAAAACATGGAAATATTTCATCCCTGTTGAGTCCTTTCTAATCTCTTTTTCTTGAAATAATTCATTCAACTGCTTCCCAATATTACATTCTCTTAGGATTTTACACATCCTCCCCTAAGCAAATCAACATGGCTTCTGTTTTCAAATTTACCAAATTTGCTTTTCCACACCAGATCACTCTTCTGACCCTGAAAATCCATTTATGTCTCCTCTTATTAATAAATGGCCACCTGGATTACACACGAAGTTCAAACCTAACCTGTCCAGAAAGGATCCTTTTATTTCTCAACCCTTTTCTATATACCCTGATCAACTCTCACTCTTATTTTTCTCTTTCTCTTTTCCTCTTCCCTTTGTATACAATCATTATATTCTATCAATTTTATTTCCTACATAATTCTCAAGTATGTCCCCTCTTCTATTACATTAGTCACTACTTTAATTCATATCTTATTAAATAGGTGATAAATGAAGATGATACAAAATTCAAAAAGTACAAAGGAGTATTCAATTAAAAAGTAAATTTCTCTTCCAAAGTATCCAGTACTCTACCCCTATGCAATCTCCCACCTCCCTACCAAGTAGCTACTGAGTATGCTGGACACTATTAGAATAATTTTTTCATAATGCTCCTTCTATTTGTCTTTTATTTCCCTTCAATCCATCCTCCTCACTGCTGCAAGACAGCCTTTCTAGAACATAAATCTCTAAGTGAAGGGTGCACAGTGGTTTGACAGTTGTAACTTAAGCATATGCTTCACAGAACCAGGAGGAGAATAAACTAAGATTAAATTTCAAATGTGAGCGGGTCTCTAAAAAGTTCATGAAAAAATCTGTATTATCCTTTAATTCCACTTTTCCACAAATTTTTTCAAGTACCCTGGTATCCTATAATACATAATTAAGAAGAAAACCTCTCCACATCATTATCCTAAGCTATACTCAAAAATATCTTTAATTTTATACTATACTGCAATCCATAATAAGGAAAAACAAAAATAGTAAACATTATTGCTGGCATCCAATTTTAAAATAAATAAAATTTTAAAAATTAAACTGTTTATTTGTTCTAAGTAACAATTTTACCTTTAGCCACCAGTAACTGCATTGACAGCTTCCCTTTAAGAGTTTATTCAGCAAATGTTAACAAAATGTTAACGACTTTATGGTAATTAAAATTTGAATTTACAAAAACAACTTTAAGACTTGGCATGTAGCATTCATCATGAAATTTTATTAAATAGTAATAAAAAGGTAACTTACAAAGACTCACACCAAACCTGAGTTAGGCTCCTCTAAGCCCTCTTCTCAACTAGGCCTCTCTAAGCCCTCTTCTCAACTAGGCCTGACCCTAGACTCTCGCCTTGGCCCACTTAGTACAGTTTTAGCAAGAATCCTGCTGAGTCAGTTTAGTGAAAATCCCCCACCCTTGGTATCTGACCACTCTTGATATCTAATCAAATTCCTCATCCCTGATGCTCAATAACTTAGTACCCTGCCTGCCTTCAGCAAGAATCTTGTAGAACTAGTCTAGCAAGAATCTCCATGGCCTCAATGTTTCCTCTTAGTAATTTTTCATCCATTGACCCCCGAGCCCTGCTCCTTGGCTATAAACCCCTACTTGTCCTTTTCATACTCAGTGTTGGTCCCCATCTCTCCTCGACTATAAACACTCATTGCAGTAGTCCCCCTTGAATATAGTCTTCTTTACCATCTTTAACAAGTGTTATAAATAATTTTTTCTTTAAGTTACGGCCACTCAAATAGGATCAGATTCATCATGTGACCACCAGACCTCTCACACCCAGTACCCCAAGTGCACGCCTCTGATGGCTTTGTCTTCACTCCTGGCTGATTGATCAGGGATCCACTGATGAGTATAACTCCTGAGACAGTGCTCCAGGTGACAGTTCATTGAAGCACTATAAGGACAGATTCTTCAGGGTGTAAGTACACTCAGAAACTGGGTGTAACAGGCCCAGGCTTTTTTGCTTGAAAGGTACCTGCTGGGGTGGAAGTCTTTCTTTCTTGCTCTTGTTTGAGGTGGGGATTTATTCCCTGACTACAGGGTTTGGCCCTAGTCTATAAAGATTTTTTCCAATTTCTTTGAGGATCTACTCCACAACTGCTAGACTGGAAAACTTTTCCTGTCTCTTTGTGAGTCCTCTCTACTTTATCTGGTCTTGCTTCTCCCATAGGAACTTCTCAGTAAACTGAAACTCCTTTCTCGAACTCTGCTGAGTATATGCTTCACCACTACGGAACGACCTCTGTCTACTTCCTTTCTTGTTCGCAGTGACTTTACTAAGGATAATTTGGAACTTCACTGGCTTCTTTGGGAAACTAAGACCTCTCCCTTCCCATTGCTTTTGTTTCTCCTTCTTCCTTTTACCAACTGCAAACTTCCCATCAGCTCACATGAATTCTTTAATAGGCCCCCCTTTAAACTTCTAGCTCCTCTTCTAGCTCATCCGTCTGTCGACCCCTGCCGGACATTTTCCCCTCCTATTCCAGCTTCTCAACTCCCTACAGTCAAGTGAACTCCGGATCCCCTGCTTCCATCAGGGCTCTCCATGGACTTGGGGACCCCCAAAAGCAACTGCCTGAGGCTGAAAAGAAAAAAAAATAACGCTAACTTAAAACAGACTAGATATTTTATCCACTCAGATGAGGCTTTGGAGACATGCAGAGAGCTTATTGATGCCCACTCAGTATTTTGCCTAAAATGTAGTCCACAGCCTCCATAAGATTACCTATGGGCAAATGAAAATCTTAAGTCTCCTCCATAAATATGGGTAAAAAGCATTAGCCCTCCTAGCAAACAGGTAAAGTTAACTTTTCTCATTTGCCAGAAACACAATTTGGATAAAAATACAAAGTGAAAAAAAGACAAGATCTAACTATTTTATTTAATAAACCAGTAAGTTTCGTATTACCATTTGCCTGAACCATAGCTAAAATTTTCGGAATGAAAGCTATAAGGCCTCTATTTTTGTCTGTCTCCATGCTTATGTATGTATGCATGTATAAATATATGTATACTATGTATGTGTGATATTTTTCTACCTACAGATGGTATTACTATTAATTTATAAAATCTCTTAAAGGAGTTCTATTCAAATTGGCTTAAAGATAAATGAGCACTTACAGAAAATAAATACTCCTAAAATTCCCAGAAATACAGAAACTAGCACAAATGCTTTTCAATTTAACATGACTTGGGTAAATCCTTGGCAATTAAGACCATCATCATTGGTTTAATAAAAACAGCTGTGTTTTCCAAGTTATCAGCATTAACTATAATATGAGCATACATTTTTATTCTAGTTGGGTTTACTAGTCAAATGAGGTAATATATCTACCATATGCTCAAGCTTATAAAAGTTACAAATTCAACCTAAGAACAAATGTACATGTAATGATTCAGTAAAAATAAATTGCTTGATATCCATTACTTCATGTATATTAAGCACAAGAGTAAAAAAGAAAACAAAAACCCATGTGCATAACTTCTTTAGATTTTTACTTTTGTGATACTTGCCTAACATACATGTGTTGTAAAAACAGTTAAGAGGGAAATGATTTGAGATGATGGATAGCTATGTTTAATGTTGTAATAGCTGCCTAAAACCAGTTTTCAAAGGTAACTTGAAACAGTTATGCTATGTCAAGTAATGATATTCATTAAATGTCTAAGTCATTTCTCAGATAAAATTACTCAAACAGTAATTACTGAAAATAAGCTTTATATACTTCTAGCTCCTTATTTTTTGTATAATATAGACAAGCTAAATATATTTAGGTCTGTTAATAAACATGTTGTTTTTGCCACATTGAAAACTGTACTATAAGAAAACATAGATCTTTAAAAATTGTGAGATGGTATATTTGTAAAATTTGCTAATGTGCTACAGAATTCTGGTATGTGACAGTTCACAACTATCTACTTTCCAGTTTTCTACATTAAGATGAAGGTTACTAACGGTTAAAAATTATAATCAATACATTAACTAAAACTACCAGAAATAATAAAGGTAAAGAGAAACAACTTTGTTTGCAAGTATGTAAGAAAAGATGTACTTTTGATATAAAAAAAGAAAAATACAAGGTATGAAGAATGTTTTCCATTAAGGCAAAAAGAATTATTTCTCAAGTAAGATAAACTGGTTGTTTTAGAATGAGAAAAAAGGAAATATAGAA